CCAATCGAGCAATGTGCCTAACTTGCTCCCAGCGTCGGTGAAACGCTGACTATAATCCCGCAGGTGAAAGATATATCACAAATACTCGAAATGAGTATCAGAAATACACCAAATCAACACTACAACACCACTATCAAATGTGCGAGGTTCGGGGTTCCAGTCAAGTATTAGACTGTTGCAATTTGAGGTTTTACTATCTATGTAACTTCTTTAGCTAATGACACAATTTGACAATCTAAGTCCGTCTTAGGCGCTTTACGCGATCTATCGACCTTAGGAAAGTGTCTTTATGCAATGTAATGGAATGTGATTCGATTGGGATGGTCAGAGGACCTTGGAGACCTGGTGTACTTGTATCTGCCTTGTTCAATGATTCTTTAGCTAATGCTGACTGGACGTCGTTGCAGTGAACTAATGTGCCTTATATTCTATTCTCACTTGTTCCACACGTAAATCAGGCCTTATAGACCTTAGTAACACGCGTCACTCGCAATAATATCCAACAAAATGTATATTTGAACAATAACACACAAAAGAAACTTTATAGGCTTCCCAATAGTATTCCGAATAGATGCAACACTTCCAAGACGGCAAACCAATATGAGGGTTTCACGACCTCTCTCAATCCTTGTTCCATTTTTCGTGCCTGGTAAAATAGTGGCTGTGTTGAGGCCTTTTTTAAAACATTCACTACGATTTTTGTGATATATTAGTGGCTGTACTACCCCCCCAACGCAATCTGGAGGTCGCCTGTTCAACCCCCAAAATCCGCATTTATTTTAAATACTCTGTTTTCCCTTTCTCCGCATCTCCCATATTCATTGTCTTCTTTGTCGTTTTTATTTTTAGCCAACTCTATGGCGATACGAGGAATCCTTGACTTCTATCTAATTTTGGTATGACATCGGATATATCCTTTCCCACGTCGTCGCTTGCGGGCCTAACGGCAGACCAAAGTAGAGGTGGATAAAGCAAAGACTAGCATGACGAAAGGAGGAATAGAAAGGCAATAGTGATTAAAGCTAAAGAGGACAGCACAGCAAGGCCCGCTTATCATACTATTGATCCGATCGGACTTAATCGGCGGTTGCTACATACAACATAAAAAACTCATAAGTACGAAGTTCCTGCCGGGCACCGCCGCGGCCCCACACCCCAAGTATAGGTGTTACGATTGGGAGATTGTTGTCGGATTGATTGAACAGCATGTCGGTGTCCCCCACGCTCCATGTGTTCCATTTGGGGGTAATCGTGTTGCTTATTTTACTGTTGGGGTTGAGGTAGATGGCGAAAGATGTGAATGACTGTGCGAATGCGTTGATGAATGCCGTGTTGTTGAAGATCGGAAAATCAAGTGACGGATTGTCGATCGGAATGGAGCGGTCCTCCGCGCGCAGCAGCCTGCACGCACACCGCAGAAACCCCCGCCGAAGCGAGCCCACATTGAAGCGGTCCCACTCACATTATGAAGTCGACTCTGGGAAGGTATACAAAAGATCAAACCCATGCAACGCTGGTGGAGTAGCGAATTCGCCCTGATGTGGAGATTTTTCGATTCAAGGGAAATCGTACGAGGGCAGGCCCGACTGACCTTGAAGGAGCGGCCCGCAAATGCCCGGAGCAGATAATACGTGGGGCATATAAATATCGCTGAAAAATGATCAAGACTCTTGTTCACGCGACGAATAGGAATTTGTGCACGAACATTCTCCCTGAACCGCGTTGGTTTGGAACAAAGGTGTGCCTAAACCCGCATACAGCGCGCCCACTCTGTCTCCTTGCGCGGGACCGAAATTCGGGAACAGGTCCAATGCGTATTGCGTAGCGTTAGCCGTCGCCGCAGTGGTCTGGTTCACGAAGCTGGTGGCTTCAAACGCATTGGTTACGGAGAGAAGGTCTTTCTACAGCGGGTCTCCAATTGAATCTAAATTCATGGCGAGGAATTAGAATCATACCCCGTTGACCTTGCCTTGGGCAAGCAATAATGTAGGGTGCTCTGTGATGAATTCACCATCCACTACCGGAACCATCAGGTAGGTTCCATAGAACCCAGCACCGTTGACGTTGACGTTGGCACTCTCCAACACATTTACATCGACCGCTCTTAAACAAGTTAACGAGGACGGTGCACGAGTGCAGCTGTTCGATCGGTGAGGAGGGTATGATTTTTTCAAAAAAGAGTTCTTACTTTGTATGCGCCACGACTTCACTATACAATAACTGGAGGGGAATCAGAGCGTCGTTGACAAACATAGATTATACTGCTTACCTCAGGGATACGGTCGTTATAGTAGTACTGAGGCGGTAAGAAGGTGGAACTTATAATAGCGCCTCTGAATAGCTGAGGTTCAGTCTGGCCACCGTTCGCAACGAGATGTTGCAGCACGGAACCGGCGCCTGTAGAGCGAGAATTTAAAGACAAAATGCGGAAAGAAAATGGGGATTTACCCGCCGATTCGCCCCAGATGGTGACCTTCTCAGGATCACCGCCGAACTTGGAGATCTTGACAGTCCCGTTGATTCCTCCCGGTGGTCAATCACCAAGATGGTCGCGACTTACGTGTTGATTTACCCAGCGCAGAGCAAACTCTTGATCAACTGCAATGTGTCAGCAAGGCTGCGAGACCGAATATCGAAGGCCATACGTAGTCCTGCATTTAACGTTCCATTCTTTTTCACCTTAGAACCTGGAAGAAACCCTAGCAAGCTACGTCAGGATTGAAACAGAAATTTTTGCAAATACTTACCGAAGACGCCGAGGCGATATTGTATCGTAACAACCACAACTCCTCTGTCGCTTTGTTGCAGAATATCAGTTCCTCTGTACATACTAGCTGAGCCACCCAGATATCTACTCGAGCACGTCAGTTGAAATGGAGAGCCAAAAACCTAGGAATGAGCACCCTCCGCCATGAATCCAAACAATTACCGGGAGTGGTCCCTCCGGAACGCCATCCGCATTGCTCGGAAAGTAAACACTGTGGAACTCGTCATTATGAGATGCTTTCGGCGAGATTCTGTGAGAAAAGAAAATTCTGACCTGAGGAAGAGACAGTCCTCCGATGAGATGGTGCTAACTGCTCGTGCTGCCAGCGGATTGGTAGCAGAGGTCCCACCCATAGCCTGGAAGCATTGGTCCGACTGTGTAGTGGCATTTAGAATACCAACGACAGATTTGGGAGACTGGGGCGCTCTGAAACGCAATTCACCTGTTTTCATCTTTAATACTGGTGGTGATCACGAATAAAAAACGGCAACGAACCGGTGGGACTTGCCGCATATTGTATTCCCAAGAACGTTGTTATGTTAGTGGACGTGTCCACCGAGCCTTGGTACGTCGCATAGCCTAGATCAATCGTCGGAGCCAATTCCGCGCTGAAAGCAAGCGAGGAGACGAGGATCGCTGTAAGCAGCCAAGTAGGTGCGTTTCGTGTGTAGGATCGACGAGGCATTGGCGGTGGGTGATCAGCACATCAGCAGTCAGGTCGAACTTTAAATGCTGCAGCTATGCCCTTTTGGAAGGTGAAACGGCCGCGGGAAGGCTGCCGCCAATCAGCATCTCTGATTTTCAAAGTGGAGATGGAATGAAAATCGGTGAATTCTGCACGCTCCTGATGTTCCTTATTACTCGGGAATCGATGGTTTGCCACAGCCGCACGACGAGAGCGGGGAGGAGCTGGCGGAGAGGGAGAGGAGAAAAGGGGGAGGATGAAGGCCCATAGGTCTTTTCGGGTCGCGACTGAATCACTGATGCGACAATCGGATGCAACGCCAACAGTTCCGTCAAGACGGCTCCTACTCGTAACTCCCACTCCGACAGTATGAGTCCGGGCTTGATGTGTTCACCACCTCTTTTTTCCGTCGGGTAGAGCAGCATGAGGAGTTGTGTACCATAGCCGTGGACGTGTCGCGCGCTGAATTTTGAAGGCGCGCTGTGCTGAATTTTGAGGGGGGAAGCGAGGGAAGAGACGGAAAATTTGTGAGAGCCCACATGGCCTACCCTGGAGTCGAACCAGGGACTCCCTCAACACAAGGGCGACCGACAGTATTGAAGGGGGGCGCGATGCATTCACCGCCAGGTCTTTTCCCTACAAAGTGGACTTTAAATCAGTGCCTTAGAACTCAGACTGAAACCGCACGGGCCTATTAAGTGAGTGCTCAACGAAACCGACGCAGTTCAAGAACACGACACAAAACGAAAATTTGTGTCGAGTATGACCTAGCCTGGAGTTGAACCAGGAACTCCCGCAACACAGGGGCGACCGGCAGTATTGAATGCGGCACCCCCAGCTCTTGTTCCTACGACGCAGACGTCGGATCAGTGCTGGTAAATACGGGATGAGGAAATCGCGTGCAATAACAGCTCTCTTTTGGGCGCACAATTTTTGAGGGCCAGAATTTTGAGGCAGTGAGCGCGAGAGTGAAAACCCGACCAGCGTTATCGAATCACCTAGCCCGGACTCGACCAGGGACTCCCGCCATAGACGCAACAAACAGACTAATTTAGAGCGGGTGCGGGCCGTCGGCTACTAGGTCCGATTCCCGTGGAGTAGACTTTTACATAAAGCCTGTAGAAGTACGACTCGGGCACGTACCAGGTGAATGTTGATGCTTATATCATGGTTCCGAACGTTGTTTCCTCGCGCTGATGATTTGGGTTTCCCTGTACAGTTGAGGTTTGACGAGCGAGAGAAAGGGGGAAAAATTGGTAATTCTCCGTGGGCACGGACTGTAGACAAGACATGAGAAGCGGGTGCGATTACCTTCGCTACTAGGTCGTATTGCTACAAAGTGGACGGTGAATATGTGCCGATAAATTCCGAATGAAGAAACTGCGTATCGTCAACGATGGCCTGCGCGTCCTGCCCACCACATGAATTAGAGCGATGTGTTGAGGGCGTAAGCCACGTGTTGGACTTTGAGGTCGTGAGCGAGGAGTCGGAATGTGACAGACACTGTGGCCGAAAAAGGAGAGGAAAAATATTGCAACAACACCCTGATGACCCAGCCTGGAGTCGAACCAGGACCTCCCGCAACAGAAGAGCGACGGATACTTGTATTGAAGGCGGGCGCGATAATTTCGCGACCAGGTCTTGTTCGTACTAACCAGACGGCGGGTCAGTACTGGTAGATACGGGACAAGGAAATGTGCGCACCAAAACTGATGTGCCGTGTGCTAAGTTGAGGGCGCGCTGTGCGCTGAATTTCGAGGGAGTGGGCGAGGGAGGAGACCAAAAGGACTGTGTAAAGCCTCTATGGCCTAGCCTGGAGTCGAACCAGGAATCCTGCGTTGTACTGGAAAGCTGAAGTAATAGGAGAAGCAGGTGCGGTCCATCCGCTACCAGGTCTCATTCCCGTGAAGTAGATTTTGAGTAAGTGCCGACTGGCGAATAGGCGCCCGTTCAAGCCGCACCTTGGTAGATATTAGGATTCCAAACAGTGTTCCGCGCGCTGCTGGGATTTTTCTGTACTGTTGAAGTTTGACGGAGGGAAAAAAATGATAATTCTCCGTGAATGACCTAGCTTGGAGTCGAACCAGGGACTCCCGCCATAGATGGAGAGAAAAACGAATTATTCAGAGCGGGTGCGGGCACTAGGTCTTATTTCTTCCTGCCAAGTAGATGGTGCATAAATTCCACATAGGTACCAGCCGAATCTTGGTAGTATGTCATGATTGCAACATGACATCAATTCTTCGCGCTGCTGAATCTGGTTTCCGTGTACTGCCGAAGAGCGACGAGAGAGAGGTCGAACCAGGAGTCCTGCCTTATTAGCTAGTGGGAGCGAACATGTTATAAGGAGCAGGCGCGGGCCGTCCGCTACTAGGTCGTATTTCCGCTCAAAGGATCTTGAATAAGTGAGGATATTGCGGGGTGACGATGACACACCGAGTAAAATTCGAGAAAAGCGGGGCAAGGATCAGAAGTTTTGTGTATACGCTGAGGGAGGTGCGACGATTGGGAGGCGACAGAATTGAGAACACATGAGAGAGGGTCTTAGAGCGAAGAAGGGAAGTCGCATAAATGGCAGCCATCGTGGGGCGCTATTGGGTTAGCCACAATAGTAAATACCTATCCGGCGGTTGGCGGTGGACTGACTCCGAGCTCCGACGACGACAGGTCGCTCGTTGAGTCAGAGGAAGGGAGGGACGCTAGGGAAGAAAGGGACAGGATGGAAGGAGGAGACAAGGAGGAGACGGAGAAGAGGCGGGGATCGCCGCGCATCAAAGATGATGACCCATCATCGAATTTGATGCATTACGTAGTGACGAACACTCTCCTTCCTCCGTCCACCCGAGTCCCCGCCGCCGTCCAAGCAGTCGCCGCCGTCGTCGTGGACAGCGAGCAGAACACCGGGCTCGACGTACGCCAGAAGAATCAACCCGCTGCACGCCTAGGAGAAGCAGGTGGCCCGATTCCGTCGGGCAGCATCGCATACGCCGATTTCCTTTTGGCGGTCATTGCTGCTCTCCTTCCTTCATTGGGGCGTGCCTTTTACTTTCGCATTCTGGACGGCATGCCTTTTCCCCTTCGCGCATTTTTGTTCATATATTTCCCCGCTGTTTCGCTGTGCACTGGATCGGCCCTCTTTTGGGCGGCACCATCTCGTCCTTGGCCTGGACCTGCATATTTCCTGCGAGTTTCTTGTTGACCTGCGTCCCGTTCTGTCTTTGGTTCTTGTCCCTTGCTAATCCATTCAATCTCAATGTATCCCTTCTCAACCTCTGTCCTCTCTGTCCTGTTTGCCAGAATACTGGCCGATTACGCTGCAGTTGCTTCTTGAAGACTATGCCTCGGACGCACCGTTGGCCAGTTGCGCGCCATTGATCGCTGATGGTTCCGAGTCTCGGATTGTTCACTCACCACCTCTCAAGTAGCAACGTCGAACGTCGGGGCATGATGGAGGGAGATGGATGTGGTGCGTTCCATTTCAGTCGTTATTGATGTACTTTTCGATGATAGCATCCAACACAGGAGTTCGTGAGGCCCTATTTCGTCGATGATTTCCGCCTTTCCGTCCCTCGGCTCACCGCTCAATCCCCGCCCTGGGACAGGACGAATTGATTCTGGCATCATGGCGAGTGAATTCAGTTCAGCTTGAACTTCTCTGTATGCATTGCACATTTACTCCGGCTCCAAGTGCGCTATGAATCTAGCTATAAACGCACATCTATCAACGTCTGGTTACACCTCCAAGTCCACCGCCGCCCGTTATTTTGGACGTGTCCTAGAGTGTATTTGTGACAACCGCTCGTAACCACTGCAATGCAATAAACACCTACTCGGGGCCGGTATTCAGTATTCAATTCGCCCACCGCGCAGATATGGGCTTTCGCAATGTGCCTTGATGTCGATGTGATTCCGTTTTCGCTGTGTCCCGATCATGCATCCTTCGCTGAGTCGCGAGCATGTATTGCAATCTAATTTCTCACTGGGTGCCAACTTCGAAGGCGGGCTTGACACTGGACAGCATCGGCTCGAGTCGTGCTAAAGTGCGAGGTGCGCCTTGAGGTGCACCTCATAAGTATCTTCTTCGCTGTGCGCGACTCGGATGGCTTCCATCTCCGCTCCAGAACTCAGTGTTTTATTTTCGAATTTCGATGTGCTACAATCGAATCTCCGTCATCCATCCCGTCTCGCCTCTCGACTCCCCACTCTCGGCATCTCAGGCGAGCTACTCGCCGCCTTCCTGCTGGAACATACATCTACGTCGACTCCGTTGTCGGTAACGATCCCTCCAGAGCCTGGGCGGGGACATTACTGGGGAGAAATAGGTTTTTCTTCTCGTTCCCCAGCTAATTGCTACCGCCTCGAATCAATTGAAGAACGTACGAATCGATTCGAAGGCCGCGTTTCCGGCGTTCGTGGGTCGTTTTCTCTTCAATCCATTTTCCAAGTCAACCCTCCGACTCATAATTTCGCAGTCCAGCATTCATCGTGCTTACCTCAGACATGGGTACGGGTACGTGCCCTGTCCAGCCGTCGATTCCGAACTGATCCGAGCCCTATTGGGCAGGTAAGTAAGTAGGTGGGTATAATTACACGGCCGGTCCCATCCACGAACACCGGTTCCAGGAATTATCCCGGCACACAAGCAAGCTATGTAGATATGCCTTTGTCCCTGGACCTCCATGCACCTAATGAACTAAAAGCCCAGACCCCACAGGTTTCATCCCATGCCCCAGGATACAGCGCGCCCAATGCACGAAAGCAAAATTGGTACTTACAATCCAGCCACAGACCCACCCCCCTCATAAACCATCTCGGCGGAACACCGTCACGGATAATATGGTTCAAAGGCAAGGTCCGTAGAACGTCAGTGGGCATAACTGATGATAGAATTACTCAGATCACCAAAGATTCTGCTATAGGTTCTTGTACGGTGTTTTGTATGCCAAATATGTAGTACAGGATACCCGTGCAGCGCGTAGCCGGGATCAGAGGATCCCTGAAAGTTACAGAACCTTCATGACAATCTCACGCTTGAAAATATCATTATCAAGGGAGGAATGCGATCTGGCTACTGACATTAAACCACCGTACGTGAAACTACATGTTACATGTGCCAAGCGCAGGGGACACTGGGCACAAATAGGGCCGTCATTTCAGCATATTCTTTCAAGCCACCATACGGCATAAGCAGGAGCTCGACGACGAGGCCGGAGCGGAGGACCTCTGCGAGCTGGTCACGCGTCAACGTCGCTCTCTCAACGAGTTGCAGCTCATCCATGACCCGGCGCATACGCGCCATAAGCCCCTGGCCATCAGCGACACTCTGCGCGGCGCGAGCCTTCGCCATCTCGTAAGTGCGCACGTCCGTCGCACGTGTGGTCTCCTGATACGCTCGGAGCGTGTCAAGCCCGCTGTACGTGATGTCGAACGAGCGCTCGTCCGAGTGCTTGTCCGTGCGCTTGTCGTAGACGGTTTTGGTAAAGCCGAGCAATTTCGCTTGCACCTTGATATCCTTCATCTCAGACTGGACGTCCTTGCCCGAGGAGGAGGAGAGGAACGTCGCGTTGTTCGCTCCGAGGCAAAGACCCGCAACGAAGTAGTCGCCATATGCGGCGCGGAAGGAGTCTCGGGTGCGCGGGTCGTACAGCAGCGTGCGAGCATGTGCAGTGAACTCGGGCTGCTCTGCGAGCTTGATAATTCCGACGCGTTGGGTGGCCTGGACCGACACCTTGTTCGCCTGGAGACGAACGATTAGTGTGAATGGTCTGAGCTGCTACCAGCGCAAACGTACATCGCGGTTCTTGGACACGTCCCTACAGAATGCTGCTTGACCCGAGGCTCCCAAAAACGAGCCTCCAACAGAGACGGCGCCCTTGAGATCCAAGTGCTCATAGGACGTAGCCGCATGGGACGATGCGGTAGAGCGGAATGATGTGTTGCCTTCGTATGTGCTGAACTGATACGGTGGTGCACCCTGCTCGGAGACAAATGGCGTGTTCCGCAGTGGATTCACATCTGGCCTAGTGGCGAGCGTGCTATCGAATCCTGTGGCCAGCTGCACGGGCGTGCGGTTCCAGACTATGTGGATAGGCACTTTCTCGTACGCTTGGTATGGTAGACTGGGTAGGTTGGGGTCGTCTTGGAAGAGCGTATCAAGTTTCTGCTCCACCGTCATTCTGAGTTCACTGGTGAACAGAGGGCTCAGATGCGCTATAACCTGAACAACTGATGACCTAACTAACTATTCAACGTCTTAACGATTGTTGGCCGGCGATCACAATCTGGCAGACCGGCAGCAGAAAACCCCGCGACGTGTGTGATTCACGGACGTCGGAAGTATATAGTGTACCTTGTGGTTCCTTTGCGGTGCCTAGATGCCTGGTAATCTTTGACATTCAGGGCCTGTTGAGTACCTCCGATTGAAGTATACTGGAAGTATATTGAGGAAGAACTCATCGGACTTTTAGCTTGTAACGCCAAACAAGCTCGAATTTAGCTCTAAAAGACGCCAAACAAACCGTCAAAAAGGCTTACCCCAGTAAGGAGCATATACAAAACTCGACACGCAGGTACATTCGGTACATTCAGGAACCCGGCACATCTAAATTGCTCGACTCATTTGCATGAATGTGCCGTGCTTA